CCTAGCCATATTTATAAAATATATTTTAAAATTATTTCAGAAATAGGAACATGAGACAAAAGGATCATAGGGAAGACCCATCTTGCCTTTAGCTCCCTTAATGCCAATCTGCTGCTTCTAGGGCCAAACCTCCTCCTTTCTCAATGAACCTGGACAATTAATGAGGTCAAACTTTTAAGGCACATTCTCATTAGCTCTAAAATTCTATTACTTTAAAACACATTATTAATATTAATATAATAACTGATCAATTATACTTTCTTAAAAGACTTCGAGTATATTGAGAAGCAGCATAGTAGATATCCAGAAAGATATGAGTTCAAGTCCCTCCTCTAACTCATACTCACTGTGTGACCCTAGGCAAGTTACATACCTTATCAGGGTTCTAAGATATCTCACTAAGACTACAGATTGCAGAAAAGGTGCCAACTTAAATTAGTAAGGTAAGTTCCTCAAAGAGCTCTCCCTATACCAAAGAAATCACAACTCTAGTCTTTAGTTCTATTTTAAAAAAAAAAAATTCTCTATTCAATTCTATGCAAAAACAAAAGTTTTTAACACTTGCTTTCTTTAAAGCTGCTAATTTCTTGTTCCATATCATCTTGCTCTATAGTTTCTAACTTATTTATGTCTGGTGCAAGTTTTGTTGTTGCCATTCAGTCGTTTCAGTCATGCCTGACTCTCCACGACCCCATTTGGGGTTTTCTTGGCAAAGACTGGTTTGCCATTTCCATCTTTAGCTCATTCCCTTTTTTTTTTTTTTGGTGAGGCAATTGGGGTTAACTGACTTGCCCAGGGTCACACAGTTGGTAAGTGTCAAGTGTCTGAGGCCACATTTGAACTCAGCTCCTCCTGACTCCAAGGTCGGAGCTTTATCCACTGTGCCACCTAGCTGCCTCTAGTTCATTCTTTATAGATGAGGAACTGAGGCAAACAAGTTTGAGTGACTTGCCCATGGTCACATAGCTATTAAGTGTCTGACACCAGAAATGAATTCAAGAAGATTGGCCTTCCTGACTTCAGGGCTGTTGCTCTGCTCTATCCACTACACCACCAAACTGCCATTACCTAATTATGTCCTGACAAAAAATGAGAACCTAATTCCCCAGTAAATTCACCACTTATTATTTTATACAATGCTGCTCATTCTATTCCTATAGAATAGAGCACTGGTTATGGAGTCAGAGGACCTGCATTCAAAATCCTACTTCTTTTTGGGGGGGTTAAGTGACTTGCTCAGGGTAACACAGCTAGTAAGTGTCAAGTGTTTGGTCTGAGGCCACATTTGAACTCAGGTCCTCCTGACTTCAGGGCCAGTGCTCTATCCACTGCGCCACCTAGCTATCCCTTCTCCAAAATTCTACTTCTGACATCACATCTATACTGTGTGACCTGGGCGAGTCATGCAAGCTTCCAGGGCCTCATTTTTTTCATTTGTAAAATAAGAAGTTGGTCTAAATGGCCTCTGAAGTCTCTTCTAACTCCAGGTCTATGATTCTATAAACCTCACCCTGCCTTTACCATCACGTTTTTCTCTGTCCAACCATTGACATAAATAATCATTGGTGAGTTCAATTTCAAGTAGATCACGCTACTAACACCTTGACCTATTGAGTCACCAAGCTCTTCAAACTCCCATGACCTCTACCTTCATCATCATGATTATCGTCATCATCGCTAGTATTCATACAGCGATTTATTGGTTTGCAAAGTATTTTTATAAATATTGTCTCATTTTACCCTCACAACAACCCTCAGAAGTACTTTATTATACCAATTTGGCATACAAGAGGTTAAATGACCTGTCTAGAATCATACAACAGGGAAATGTCTGAGACTGAATTTGAACTCAGGGCTTTTCTGACCTGAGACCCACTCTGCGATCTAGCTACTGCTATCTAGGATAGCCAAAGAGGTGGTCACACAGAGCGCATGATCACCCCAAACCACTTCACTTCTTTGATTCTGAACTGTAAGATTTTCTTATTTAATCACAATTCTGTCATCCCTCCACCTCAACTCTTCCTGAACTTGCTTTTGCCACTCATGACAGTTTTTACTTTCCCATCCTGTTCTTCTAGTCCACCACCTCTGTTCTGATTTCACTTCCCTCGACTCAGGTCAACCATTTCAAACAAGAACTGTTATCTAGGAATGAACATCTTCCCTTTTATCAATTCAATTGCATCGTTCCTGCTCTTTTAATACACAGACCTGGTTCGCTACCCCATTCATACTCCCCAGCTACTGAAAACTGCAAAGACACAAAACTGTACTGACTGGATACCCTACAAATGTTACTCTTATCAAAGCTTAAACAGGCCTTCCCAGATACACTCTATCTTTTATCTGTAATCTTTTATTTGACTGATTGTCTATCAGACTCCCACAATGACCCATCTAAACCTTCTCTCCTCAAGCCCTCAACTCTTAATACCTCCTCTCTTAACAGATGACTACCTTCTACAGAGGACATCAAAAGCATCCATGAGCCACTTTTTCTACACCTTGAAACCTTTCTATGATGAACTGAGTCAAATTTATAAAAAATACAAGTCATGCTCCCAATGCTCTAAATCATTACTGATCAGAGAAATGCAAATTAAGACAACTCTGAGGTACCACCTATCAGATAGCCACCCATCAGAACAGCTAATATGACAGAAAAGGAAAATGTTGGATGTTGGAGGGGTTGTGGGAAAACTGGGATATTAATGCACTATTGGTGGAGTTGTGAATTGATCCAACCATTCTGGAGGGCAATTTGGAACTATGCCCACAGGGCTATAAAACTGTGCACACCCTTTGATCCAGCAATACCACTGCTAGCTCTATAATCCCAAAGACATCCAAAAAGGGAAAAGGACCTACTTGTACCAAAATATTTATAGTAGCTCTTTTTATGGTGGCTAAGAACTGGAAATCAAAGGGATGTCCATCAATTTGGGAATAGCTAAAGAAGCCGTGGCATATGACTGTAACGGGATATTATTGTGCTTTAAGAAATGATGAGCAGGATGATTTCAGAAAAATCTGTAAAGATTTACATGAACTGATGCATTGGGAAGTGAACAGACCCAGGAAAATGTTGTACACAGTAACAGCAATATTGTTTGATCAAGAACTGTGAATGACTTAGCTGTTCTCAGAAGCTGAATGATCTAAGACAATCCAAAGGACTCATGATGAAGCATACTATCTACCTCCAGAGAAAGAAGTGATACTGAATGAATACAGACTGAAGCATGCTATTTTTCCACTTTCATTTTTTTCTTTTATTCAAGTCTTTTTGTACAAAATGACTAATATGGAAATCTCTTACGTAATTGCACACGTATAACCTATATTATCTGACTGCATACCGTCTCAGGGACGAGGAATGGGAAAAAGTGGGGAAAAAATTTGAAACTCAAAACTTCAAATAAAAATTTTAAAAATTTAAAAAAAAAACCGTTCTATGGATTCATCTATCACCTCCTTTCTTCCAATCTCAGAGGATGAAGTGGTCCTTTTCTTGGCAGGAGTAACTACCAGATACATCCTTTGATACTATCCTTCTTCAACCCCCTACATAATCAATTAATCCTCTCTCATCTTCAATCTCTATTTTCATCCCTCTGACTTGTAAACATGATGGGTCTCATCAACATAACAAAAAACCTTTCCTAGACCTTACCCGTGTGGCTCAAGCTTTCTCCTCCAGCCTCACTAATAAAAATTTAGAAAATGTAGTCAACATTGCTTCCATCCGATCATAGCTCACTTACTCCTTAATTTCCTCTAAAGTTGGTTTGTCTTTACCCTTCTAATATAGCTGCTCTCTCCAAAGTTAGTAATTATGTCTTAATTAGCAGATCCAATGGCTTTTTATCAATTCTTATCCTCCTTGATTTTTGATCAGCTTACCCCATCTTTTTGATATCTTCTTTTTTTCCCTCATCTTTACCCTACTCATCTCCAGATTCTCCTGTCTAACCCATTCTCATTTTCTTCACTGGTTCATCCTCCTCTCACATGCATACCCAGTCCAAGTGTAGTTGTCACTGAAAGCTCTGATCTCAGAATCTTCTTTATGTATGCTCTCTCCTTTAATGGTGTCATCCATAATCTTTGATTATCACTTTCTATGTAGATAACATTGTATGGGAAGATACATTCAGAGTTCCAATTGAAAATGCTAGAAACATTCTGTTTTCCGGCCCCAAAAAGCTCCGAAGGAGAGGGAGAGGGTGCCATTCAACCTTCCCTTACCCTAAACACCAAGTTTTTAAATTGGGGAAGAACCTAAAAGGATGGGAGGAAATGTTATAGTTGGAGTTATAATGTACTTATGACACCAACTTATAAGTCAGAAACTGCCTATCACAGAAAACAATTCAACTCCCTAACAATGCTAGTAAAATGTTTTTTGTACTGGTAAAACTGTAGTATTAAATTGTGTAACTTATTAAAACTTAACTGTTTAATAGCATCTAGGAATATGTGACCATTAAAAAAAAAAGAGCCTATCTTGCCAATTAACATTTTCCAATTCAGACATTTTGTTTGTGCCCACTTCAGCATATACCATATTGACTTCTATTGCAAACATTTATTTTAAAAAGAGAAAAAAAGCTCCCTGATTATCTTAGGAGAAACAGATATTTTCTTAAGGCTGCTAGAGCACCAATTGCTTAGTGAATCACCATTCTCAATGGTAAAGTACTATACTGGTGAAGCATAGAAACATTTGCACACTGAGGCAGTCCAGTATTTCACATCCTGGATTTACAGATACTTGAGAGATCTAGAACACATTACTAATTTTTAGTACATCCCAAATGTTTACTACAGCAGACTCAATTGTGATACTGGGGCTTTGTTTTATGTAGTAGTAAAGTGGTATTGTAAATAAAAATATCAATCCACATTAAAGTAAGATGGCAAGAGTAAACCTTGAAGAAGAAGCCTTCTTCAAAGACCATTTATACATGTTTCCAACATTCTTCTTCTTTTATTAGGTCCAGATTCTATATGCAAAAAGAAGATCAAATATTCAAAGACCAACAACTGTATAAATATTTTTAAAATCTGAACAAACAGAAAACTACAAACAACTACTCTTTGCCTTCCTGGTATCATGGAGAAAGTCCAGCATCTCACCCGCTCGGCCATAAGAAGAGCTTCAACTATTGAAATGCCCCAACAAGCACGTCAAAATCTCCAGAAACTCTTTATAAATTTTTGTCTCATATTAATATGTCTCTTGCTTATATGCATCATTGTGATGCTTCTCTGAAGTTCTGATACTACTTCTAATTCCGCTATTCATCAGTGTGGATCTAAAACCTGTTATGTGACAAGGAGAAGAAACTGAAACTGTAGAAGCAACCATTTTCTGGGCGCAAGAATATATCCATGAAAAGGATGTAAACGACAATCAGCTGATATACTTTCCTGCTGGATCCTTCAAACTTGGAAAATGTTTCTTTCACAAAGTTATTTTCAAAAGCAACAGTCTAATTATGCATGATGTAATGCTATTTGTTTATTAGGCACTGCTTATAAAAGGCTTTGTTTTCTAATTCACACTATTAGTCAAATCCACTTTATATTCAACCAAGTATTTCACTGTTTGGGGGTCTGTGTAATTTACATTTTATTGTTATACTCGGATATTAGATTTTTCAGTGCTTTAAAAACCATTACAAAACTAGCAATTCAAAAAAATGTTTCACCATTCAAATCTGGAGTGTTTCTTATAATCACTTCAACCTTAAAGTATTCATAAAATTGTAGGTATGCCTTCATTTTTGTTATTGCTTAGAATCACAAACTACCAAACCAAAATAAAAAAATTTTAATGAAATATGTTAAAATAGAAAACTAGATTTTATTCTACACTGCTCTTCACCCCTATTTAAAGAAAGGATACAAGAACAAAGAAAGACTGTAAAGTCTGAAACTTACCTTATAGTAAAAAAGTTTTCTATTACTTGCAGCTCCAATTAATTCAATACAGCTATGTATTGAATATACAAATGAGTAATTCAAATTTTTAGGTCAATCGAATCTATTCTTCTTCCTAGGGTGTTATGTTCTGGTAGATAAGGTGTAACAAGTCAGTCAACACACTAGACAAAGTGACTAGCCGGAGATGTTCTCAAGACATTTTACTTCAAGGTACTTCTGCCAAAGCCAACAGCTGAGACATAGGTTCTCTGAGTACCATATACATCACATGGAAAAAAAAAGATGTCATGTGTATCAGTATAAATTATCCCAGATTTTGAAAAATGAAACACAGCTATTTTATGCCATATACACTTATTATACTAAATTTCTATAGAAAATTAATATTCCACCACATATACTTCTTAAGGTGGGATATATTATTAGTAGTTCATAACTAAGAGATGTTTATTAAGCTCCTCTTTGACATAAGACACTTCAACTGAATTCAGCATCTACAGTGACATTAAGATCAGAGGTGGACATGGTAGAGTACTTTTTAATTTGTTCTTTTGCTTGAAAAGGATTTTTTTTAATCTTTAAGAAAACTAAGTTTTCTTTAAACCATGATAAATGGTCATTAAATTCTATGCCTTATACATTAATATTTTTAAAAATTTTAAACTGGGATTTTATATTTATTAGTGCAAAACAATTTTTTTTTTATTTTTGTACCTTTGAGGCATATTCATGAACCGGCTATTTTTTGTGGTTTTAAAATAGGTCAACTGCTAAATAATTAATTCTTATCCAAAATACATGATAGCCTTATTATAGGTCCAGAGCCCCTACAAAAAGCTTTGACGATATTTTTCCTGTGAGAAAACTGTTTGATGAATCATAAAATCCAACGGAAATAGGAGATTCTTCGATTACAGTAAGCATAGGAAATACTAACAGTGTCAGGAAAAATACATTTACATTAAGCAGTGAACCAGAAACTAGTCATGTAGTGACATCTGTTGGTGTAGTGAAATACTGGACATTGAGTCAGAAGATCTCAGTTCCAGTCTCCTTTCAACTAACTTGTTCATTAGCTGTGTGACCTCAGAATGAAGACATTAACTATTTTGACTCATCTCGGAAAATATAAGTAATGGTTCAGTGCTGATTAAGGGTTATGAACAGGCTAAACTGATCTTGTAAACCAAGCTGTTTTGAAATGTTAAGTTGTTTTCCTTTCAGTTGATTTGTTCACTGTGCTGATATTGTTTATTTTTTTTAATATTTGAGAAGAATTCATTATAGTTTCTCCTAAGGAAAAGCTGTTTTATTTCCTCTCGTGAATATAAAATGAAACTATACTGTCAAAAACCACAGAATATTATTACTTCTACACAGAAACTAATTCCTTCAAATGAAACTCTTAAGATCTTATACACAGTGATTCAATGATAAACTACGTACGAAAAAATAAGAAAGCTGTTGCATTAAGAATGATGATAACAGATGTACAATACAATATGATTCAAGAAGAGAAAATTCTAACATTACAGTGTGATTAAAATTTTTAGAGAATTAACTAATTTAAAAGACTATTTTGTATTATCATTTATATTGTGGTTGGTTAAAAAACTATCTGATAGCTAAATATGATGTTTAATAAAGTCACAATCACCTATATAAAAAATAATGTTTTTGCATTTAATTACATTGTTTCTGTAAAGTGCTCATTTTAATATGACAATAAAACAATCTAAAATACTGAAGGCAGATTTGGCTTTGGAAGGTTGTTTTAAATACTATATAGTAGCAGCAGCAATTAGAGTCAACATTACAACCTATGGTCACAAGAGGGCAGACTTCTATAAAATATAGGATGTTTTCCCCTAATAACTCTACCTGAACATGCTACTAAATAAATACTCTTAATGTAAACCAAGGGTATGCCTTTCCATTACCAAAATACTGTACTTTCACCTGCATAAAAATTAGGTGCCAAACCCATACATACTTGATAAGTTAAACAAGGTATAAAAACCTGAAATGAACAGGATAAAGAGGATGGTATGGAATGAACCAGGGAGAAAATTACTAACAAAAGAAATCTTCCACCTTCAGTGGGAATAGGAAAATCAATTAAAATCTGCATTATTTGCAAGAATCATCTATACATTCATGCACAAAATGTCTCCATTTGCATTCTTAGTTTCAGTGGATATAGAAATAAAATATGCCAACATAAAATAATTATCTAGATGAGATATTTTCACAGTGAGCCCCTATCAACACTCAAATTAGGTCTACCTTGCCTTTAAAAAAAGAAAACTCATTTATTCTTCCCAACAAAGTAGTTACTGTCTATAGCATAGGAAAATTCTAGGAGAAAAAAACACAAGTAGGCATGCAGCCTTAGCATCAAAAAATTTTTTTCTACTCTTAGATTACAGTCATGATTATATTTTTCAGCTCCTAAAGGAACCCTTTGGTCTTAGAGAAATATGACAGACAAAATGGATGGGGGGGGGGGAACTGGGGGAAAACTGGGGGAAATGCTAGGAAATAAAAAAGGTCCCTCCGCCTCAGAGGGGCAGGAGTTGTAAGGAACAGGATTAACTGGCATGTAAGACAGATTCTAGGAAGAACAATATGCTAATAGTTGGTAAAGCCTTTGTTAAAAATACCTTATTAAATGAACACCAGTCAATCTCCTTTCAGTAGGTGAAGTAAGTGTGGGACAGTAAGAGCGGGAATTGTAATGCGCTTAAGTTAAGTTTGTTGTCACCCAATGCATACTCTAAATATCCACGTAATGAACTAATTATGAATACAGCAACTGCTTGGTCCCTCTTTGGAATCACAGTTGTTGCTAAAAGTAACCAAAACTGAAACTTGAAAGGAAATCCTGACTGTCAACATTTCTTTTTTGTCATCTGCAAATCCCCGATTTCTCTCTATCAATCTATTTTTGACAAGGTACCTTTTCATTGTATTCCAACAGAAAAGTTGAATGTTAGTAAATCTAGAGTGCCTAACTTGGCCACTAATCAGTGTTAAATGTAAGTGATCATCTCAAGATAAGGATGCTGCTGCTAATGGGTGGCCGATTAGAATCAAAAAGCAAGTTAAATCTTAAATTTTAAGGTTTTTTGTTGTTTTTTAACTACCACTCTCTCTCTATCCTAAGTCATGTTCAAGCCTATTATAAAACTGCTTTGGAGTACTAAGGAGCTGCTAAGAGTGGTACTTATCAAAGCATTGCCTAATCTTTTCCTAGACACCCTAGAAACAAAAAGTCCAGGTGGACATTTCATTATCAAGCCCTAGATCTACAGTCCTGATTGTAAGAAAAGTATCAACAATGACTTTGTGGAATGCACAGTTGTCAGGATCGCTTGACTCTGCCTTGTTGGGTGAAAAGTAAACTATTCATGAATCAACTACTTAACCAGGCAGATATTTTAAGACAACAAGAGGAATGTAAGATTAAACAGAATAGCATCCAAATCATTGTAAAAGGTCAGTGCTTAAAATGACATCTGAGAAAAAATTAAAGATCTTGTCAAAAACTGTAACTGAAACTATATGAAATTTTTATTTTAAAAAATTAATGTCAAAATAATGTTAAATGTTCTTCAGCTTAATGGAGAATATAAATTTTACCCTTTACTGACAGCAGAGGATTAATTAAAAGAACTATTGATATAGTAGAGAGGAAAGGGTGCTGGGTTTAGAGTCAAGAGGAACTAGCTCATCTCCTGACTTAGTATCTAAGACCTTAGTTAAATCATTTTACATGTCAATGCTTCCTTCTCTGTACAATGAGAAGGTTGGACCATATGATCTCCAAGTGTTTCAACCAAATCTAAATATATGCTTCTTTGAGGCAGCTAGGTAGCATTGTAAATAGAGCTGTGTGACCCTGGGCAAGGCACTACCTATTTTCCTCAGTTTCCTCACCTTTAAAATGGAGGTAATAATAGTATCTACATTCAAAGGTTGTTGTGAGGATCAAACGAGATAATATTCGTAAAGCACTTAGTACAGTGACTGGCACATAGTAGGTGCTATATAAGTACTAGCTATTGATATTGTTTAGTGATTTTTTTTCAGTCATGTCTGACTTTTCATGACCCCATTTGGGGTTTTCTTGGCAAAGATACTGGAATGGTTTGCCATTTCCTTCTCTAGCTCATTCTGCAGAGGAGGAAAGTGGGACAAACAGGTTTAAGTGACTTGTCCAGGATCACACAGCTACAGTAAGTGTCTGTGGCTGGATTTCAACTCAGAAAGATGAGTCTTCCTGACTCCAGGCCCGGGACTCTTATCCACTGTGCCACCTAGCTGCCATTATATTCTAGACACATAGGAACATAAAATGGTGTTCAGACAGCGTCAAAAAATAAATCCAACAGAACAAATGCACCAAATGTGTTCTATGGTTCAATCAACAAATATTTACTACCATGTGCATTATGCTAGAGGATGGGGAAACAAATTAATCAAACAATCCTTATTTATTATTATTGTCAATAAGGAATTTGTTCACTATGGAAACTACTTTTCACCATCATAGAAGTATCCCCTCTCCCAGTCAGAACAAAGTACAGAAATTCACACTCCTTCCCCAAAAAAGCCAGGGTCCTTAACGTGCAGCATTCTGGAGAGAGCAAACAGCAATCTAGGGGAATTGCTTCCTAGCCCTCACTTTGTTCCCTGGTGGGAAGTGCCCACTCTGGTGGATCTCAATTCATCTGCTAAATAAATTCTTGCCTTACAGAGTATTCCAGGAACATATTTTATGTGGAGAGCAAGGAGTAGATATATTTCAATTAAACAACAAATATTGAGTGCTCATTCTGTAAAAGTCAATTGAAGTTCAAGCTTTAGATCTGTTCTAGCCAATCCATCAGGGCCTGAGCTTCTATAATTATATACCATACACAAGTAGGTTCAACACATAAGTGAGTTTTCCTGGCTATATAACTAAAGAAGCTTATAGTCGTATGAGAGATTAAAATATATACTCAGAAAAGTTATTTTTGAAGATGTAGAGAACACAAATGACTTGGGGTAGGTAGGGGTGGGAGAATAGGGCAAAGAGATCAGAAATGAGCTTTGAAAGAAGCTAGGGATTTTAAGAAGTGATAATGAAAACATTTGGTGGGGAGGTAAGGGAAGGAAGAGGTTAGAGATAGAGGAGATGGGAGATATTTGGATAGCAAGTCAATCTTTCTTTAGTTCAAAGAAAGCATTATAACAATGGTGGAATGATGATTGTAAGGAATAGCAAATTATATGGTTAAACAATAAAGTGAGCAAAAGGTATTAATAGGGGCAGCTAGGTGGTGTAGTGGATAGAGCACCAGCCCTGAACTCAGACCAAACACTTGACACTTACTAGCTGTGTGACCCTGAGCAAGTCACTTAACCCCCCAAAAAAGAAGTAGGATTTTGAGTTCAGGTCCTCTGACTCCATAACCAGTGCTCTCCCCACTGTGTAGAGTATAGGAATAGAATGACACGTACTAGCTGTGTGACCTTGGGCAAGTCACTTAACCCCGAATGCCTCACTAAAATTAAAAAAAAAAGAGATTAATACATAGAATAATTCATAAAAAGTAGACTGGAGTTAATTATGGAGGGTTTTAAATAATAGACTGCAAGTCTGTAATTTTAACATCATATCAAAATAGGGAGCCAAAGAAGATTTTTCAGCAAGTGAACAATATCTGTCAGACCTGTGCCTCAGCAATAGTATTTTTTGAATTATGTTGAAAACAGACTGGAGAAAGGAGAAAATGGAAGCAGGGACAACCTAATAGGGGGCAATTGTAGAAACTGAGGACAGAGGTGATAAGGATCTAAATCAGGTTGCGGTTGTGAGCGGAGAGAGACGTGGAGAGGTTTGGGTTTTTTTGTTTTGGTTTTTCTGGGTGAGGCAACCAGAGTTAAGTGTCAAGTGTCTGAAGCTGGTTTTGAACTCAGGTCCTCCTGCCTCCAGGGCAAGTGCTCTATCCACTGTGCCACCTGGCTGCCCCTGGAGAGGTTTTGAAAGTTGTTATGGAAAGTAGAATCCACAAGACTTGATAATTGGAGGCTGGGAGGACAAAGGGAGCAGGGGAAGAGAGGGTTAAAGAGGGGGAAGGGTAATAGAAAAAAACACTGGATCTGGAGTCAGCAGACTTGGGTTCAAACCAAAACTCAGCCAATTATGTAACTTTGTGAAAGTCACTTGGGCTTCAGGTGACCTCATCTGGGAAATCAATGGGCTGGACAAAATAATCTGAGATTTTTTCCACTTCTCAAATACAATGATCCAATAAAATATCCTCCTGAGCACCAAAACTTTTAGAAACTATTTTTAAAATGAATTATATATTGTCTTGTCTTTTTGGACAGAGAATAATAAATTCAATTTGGCCTGCAACTAACGTCTCAGGAAATTACAAAGATTTTGCTATCCAAATGTTCTTAAAAATGTTTTATTTAATTCCTATACATTTAACAACTTTATCTGTCAAAAGCTAAGAATAACTACTATAACTAGGTTAAGTAAGAACTATGGTTTAAAAGAAAAAGTAACATTTAACAAGTTCTGTTGTTATAGCATATAGCATCCACTTGAGGGAAGCAAACACCAGATTTCCAGTCTTACCTGCATAGGAGGCTCACTCCCTTGTCTGAATTCTTCAAGTTGGTGCTGTTGCCAGGGAGCTAAGGTGAAAGCTTCATCAATAGGCCTACAATCAGGAGGATTTGCATGTAATTGATCAGTAAGCCACATTTGAGTTCTAACAGAAGGCTGAATAGGAATTCCACCCACAGCCTGCTGGCCTAGCATTAGATATTTTTGTTCATAAGGCTCTGAACTTGTTATAGAAGACTTGCTTTCAGGTAAGGCACTGTATGTCTTGTCTAAGGCATGTCTCCTATGAGCAGGAGAGATTCCCAAGTCTTCTTTGCTACAGCTCTCAAACTTATATTTACAATCCAGAGTTGAAGACCGTATTTTATTTATTTCCTTGTCTTCTAGTTGAAGCATCTCCATACTATCGTGTAAGCAGCTGGGACCATTTGCCCTTAGTTGTGCTATCAAAGCCCTATCTCTCTCTGACTTATCTAAACTACTCCTGGATTCCTCAGATCGAACACTGCCATCTTGACTACAGTTATCTGGGAGGTTGAGTTTAGACAAAGATGACCATTTTCGTACAGGTCGTATGTCCTTCATGTCAAGTGAAGAGTCCAGTTCTCGATTTCGGTTTCCCATTGTCCGTATGAAACCTGTACTCCATTTTGACCCATCAGATGTCAGTGCTTCCCTGTGTTTGGAAATTGAAGAACTGGAATGAGACGGCATCACATGGGCAGTGGGAATTGTGACCAGTGAGTGGCTGGGCTTGAACGATGATGTACCACTTGAAGTAGAATGGTCTGAAAAAAGAAATTTATGATAAAATCAAATATAAGAAGTCAAATTAAATCCCACTAGAAAAAAAAATTAAATACTGTTGAAAGAAAGAAGTAAAAATGGGTTATTTTTCCTAACACAACTTCTTATTTGTCTCCTATGAGCAGGAATGATTCTCCTTAAGTGAAGGGTTGAGTTGTTTGTTGGTTTTTTTTTTTAATTCCTTCTATAAAATTGAACTAAATTAAAATTACTATCAAATGCTATTCACCAAATTGTACTATTATACTATAAAGCCACATGTGTGGCCCAGGGCACTTGAAGGCTATATCAACAGAGGTCAAGTTCTAGAATAGCCTACCAAACAGAACAAGAATGGAACTAGTAACAGATTTCCTAACATCCAGGGACTAGCCTTGATAAAACTCCAAGAAGCTGATCCTCAAAAATTTGGCAATCAGGTAAAATTTTGTTTTAACCCATAATTATTCATGATGATCATTTATTAAGGCACAGATAGGTACCACTATGCTCAGTGGAAGCAAATACTCCAATGATGTCTTAGATCTTTGAAGAACATTGTTCCATAGTTATACAACTGATGATCTAATACGATGTCATATACCTAAGGCACCTCAAAAAGTATGTATCAACACTGATGGTACAGACATGCAAAACAAATAAAAATAAACATTTCTTGCCTTAGCTATTTTCCTGGTTCTTGTTCTCCTACCAGAATTATTTTTTTAAAAAGTCAGATATTTAAGTATGGCCACCTTGAACTATAAAAAATGGGAACATCAAGGAATACAAGGAGATTCTGTTCATTTTTTGTTTTCTGTGAAGGGGGTACATAGTACATTCTCGTGATACTAATTACTTTCTAGCTCCATAGTCCCCAAATAGGGGCTACTCTCATCCCTGTACTTAGAGAGTACCAATGTACTCTCACCTCCATTTTTTTTAAATAAATGAAAAGTATATAGGTAATAATAAACATTTTCAAAGGAAATTTATCCTGCCAATCACCAAAATGTTTTTCTCACCAAAAAAAATCAGATTTCAGTACTGTGTGAGTGTTAATTGGATAAGATCCATATTTGCCATGAGAGAATCAACTCAAGGGTTTCCAAATTTCAAAGCTTTAAAAAGTAGAATTAAGCAATGTTACATATTTCTTGCCAGGACTAAAAAGAGAACTTCACAGATAATTAAGAAAATATGTTTATACAAAAAATGAACTTCTAAACAATTATACAAATCAAATATCAATCACCTAAATTTACTACTACAAAACGTATTTTAATTATAAAGCTTCTTTTCTCATAAGTGTTCACTGTGTGTTGTATCACATACTCATTACAGTATCTTTAAGTTGGGCAAATATTAGTACAATTTAACAGACGTGAGAACTGATCACCACAAGTTACATGACATGCTTAAGAGTCATAGAGAGCCCCTATCTTTTTAACCTATACATTAGTGTTCCTGACCATAAAACAAAATTACTTCTCACAGGATAGTATATCTTGAGGGCCTTTCAAAAAGGAAGAGGGATGTGAGGAAAGGGAGAAAGGAAAAATGAAAACAGGAAAGTCCTGTACCTGATGTCTTAAAACAGGCAAGTTTTCAGTTTTAAAAATACGAGTTGCTTCTTCAAAAAACAACAAAAGGCTAGGATAGATGAAGAATTTCAAGTTGAGGGATAGTTCAGTATAAAAGGGAAAATTAAAATCATTATGAAAATAAGTTCTCCTCTTTGATTACAGCCAGCATTAAGTAACCTAGCTGTACACTATTAATCTATAGAATCTATAGATCAGGAGTCTTCAAGGACTCAAACACATAATTAATCACAACCTCTCAGAGACAAAATACACACAAGCACTGAAATGAGTGTACAAACTACATAGAGGGCAGAGACAGGGAGATTTAAGAACATATAAGTTTATTCTTAAATGAAGTTCTAGCTAATTGTTCAGAGGGCTGCTTTTGTCCAGTTATTTGTACACATTAAAGAGGTGCATAACCTATTAACCTCTTTCAGACTCAATTATTTCTTGAATCACAGAATATCTAAGTTGGAAGTGATCAAGGGTTCTCCAGTCCAACCAACATGACTAGGAATCCCCTTAAAACATACCTTATAAAGGGGTCAGCTAGGTGGCGCAGTGGATAGAGTACCGGCCCTGGAGTCAGAAGGACCTGAGTTCAAATCCAGTCTCAGACAGATAATACTTACTAGCTGTGCGACCATGGGCAAGTCACTTAACCCTGATTGCCTCGCCAAAAATAAAAACAACAATAACATACCCTACAAGAATTCAACCAGCTTTTGCATAAACAACTTGTACAAGGAGGAACCTACTATCTCCTTAAGCCATCCACATCATTTTTGGATAGCTCAAATTGTTAGGGCTTATACTTTCTTATACCAAGTCTCAACTTGCCTTTTTGGCATTTTTATCCATTAATCCTAGTTCTGCCCTCTGATGCCAAGCAGAACAAATTTAATTACTTCTCTACTTGGAAGACTTTCAAATACATGAAGACACCTAGGTATCATGTCCACACTATGTCTCCCTTCTTCAGATTCAACATTCCCAGTTTCTAAATAGATCCTCATGACATGACTTCATGTCATAATCCTAGTTGCCCTTCCACTGAATGCTATCCAGATTCTTAATATCTTTCCTAAAATGTGATAGCAGAACTTATCATGATACTCATTATGGAGCCTGACCAGTACATCAGTTGATTGGGCACATCCATCTCTTAAATTTCCTTTTTTACTTCTCATCAGAAATATTTCTTTTTATGTTTTCAAATTTTCATTCTTGAGAGCTTCCCAGAACACTCGGGCTGACTTTCTCCATAAACATTTAGACCATAGTATCCTATTTATACTTTTCCTAAATCTTTTCCTATCTGCTTTCCTAAACACCAGGGTATATTTCAGACTATGCCTGGGTTTCCTCTCCTGTCTTATAAATTTTAAGATGGAGAATGGTCACTTCTTCCTAATGTTCCAATCATTTCCTTCCCAGATTCACAAAATAAGTTTTAGAACAAGAGTTTCCCTTTACTGATAACTCTTATTTTTTGAAGAATGAAATTATTATTAAAATAAGCTAAGAAATTCTTAGTTGCTCTGCCTTTGGAACAGAGTTCCAATAGGATGTCTAGGCAATGGAAGTTAGCACTATATAAATAATGCTTCTGTGCCAGGCCTGTGATATTATCCAAATTTCTGGTGGTACATAGTTATTCCTTCCACATCATTTCAATATATCAAGAGTTGGTATAAGAAATTAAATGGTAATTTTGGGAAGTTTTGCAGAAGACACAGAAGACACACGAAGGCCAGCGGATAACACAGAGCCAATGACCCAATATTTAACCCAAATTTTACAATAAGGTACTGTAAACACCCCAAAAAAGGAAAAAAAAATTCACACTTCTTCTCTGGTATGAAGGGAGAACCAAAAAATTTTACAGAGATTTTCCAGATCCCAGAGGTGCCCCGTTCCTGCCCCACTACACTCCACAAGATGTGGAAGGGATAAGTGTACTATATGCCCATGAAGATATCACTTGCTTTTTTTTTTTCAAGCTACCACTTTCTAGCTCCATAACCTACTAACAAGAGCATACAATGTTACTCTTATCCCTGTACTTTCTCTATACCTCTCTTGAATAAGGTACACTCTTCCAGAGTAATATTATGTTCTAAGTAAGGATCACATTCCTAGTTTTAATGAGGTCAAATATGCCTTTAGTTAAGATTTCTAACTCACCCTGTCTGTTACCTATACTTTGATCTTGTTCCAGATCACACCCTCTAACTGAATACCTACAGTCCTGGGTTCTGTCCTGGACCTCTCCTCTTCTCCCTCCATACTACTTCACTTGGTGATCTATCAGCTCCCTTGGATTTAATTACCATCTCTATGCTGACGATTCTCAAATCTACTTATCCTGTCCCAAATTCTGCTTACATTCAATCTCACATGACCAGCTGCCTTTCAAACATCTCAAACTGGATGTCCAGAAGACATCTTAAACTCAGTGTCAAAAACAGAACTCATCTTTCCTTGTAAACCCTCTCCACCTCCTACCTTCCCTATCATATCATTGAAAGCAACACACCATCCTCCCAAGCCCTCAGGCTCACAACCTAAGAGTCATCCTGGATTCTTCACTATATCTCATCCCCCATATCCAATCTACTGCCAAAGCTTGATGTCATCTTTTCATGTCTCTTGAGCACCCTCCCTTTTCTCCTCTGACACTGCCACTACTCTAGTACAGGTCACCATCACCTCACATTTTGATTACTGCAATAGCCTGCCGGTAGGTTTGCCCGCCTCAGCTCTTTCCTCACTCCAATCCATCCTCCATTCTGTCACTAAAATGATTTTCCTAAAGCACAGGTCCAATCATGTTACCCTCCTACTCAACAAACTCTTCCATGAGCATATACTAAAATGCTGTTTGACATTCAAAACCCTTCACAACCTAGTCCCTTCGACCTTTCTAGTCTTCTTACACCTCACTTTCCTACAGGTACTCTTTGATAAAGTGACACTGGCCCCTTTGTTGTTCCACAAATAAGATACAGTTCATCTCTCTACTCCAGGGATTTTCTCTGGCTATCCCTAATGCCAAGAGCTCTCTCCCTCCTTTGCTCAACCTTGGCTTCCTTTAAGTCCCAACTAAAATTTCACCTTCCACAGAAAGCCTTCCTCAACCTCTCTTAATTCTAGTGCCTTCCCTCTAGTAATTATTTCATACTTATCCTGTATATATCTTGATTTGAATATATCTGTCTGCATGTGGTCTCCCCCATTAGATTGTAAGCTCCATGGGGCTCAATGATTATCTTTTGGCTCTTTTCGTATCCCAAGAGTTAGCACAATTCCTGATATTTAACAGACACAATATATATTTTTATTGATTGATTGGTTGCATTTGAGTACATATATATAACCATAGATTTAGAGCTGGAAATTACCATTGAGAC